GTGTGTCTCAGCCTCAGTAAAGCAGACCTCTGGCTTGGCCCCTCCCTGGAAGTCTGACAGCTCTGTGCACCCATATTCTAGTCCCCATGTTTCTTTACTCACATCCCAGATCTGTCTGCTAGTAGCTGCCACCAGAGAAGGTGCCTGGCTTCCTCTGGTTGCCCAGAGAGACAGGGTGTGTTTGTCCGGGATAGCCACCCCAGGGGCATGAGCTTTAGTGTTCCCACCATTGCTGTTATTCTACGCCTGGGGGCACTGCCACTGCTCCTGCATGGTTCCCTCTCAGCTGATCGTCCTCTCCTTACTCCCGTGCCACAGAATAAGCACAGCTGACCAAGAGCCCTTCCCCTGTCCACACCTCTGGAGAAAATGCCCAAGAATCTGGACTCCATTGGGGACAGGCTTCCAGAGCTCAGGGTGAGAGTGGAGGGGAGTGCTGGGAGTTCAGAGGTGCAGATAGAGAATATATACAGTTTTATGCCTAGCAGGAGAGTGCCATGGTACCCTAGTATGGGTACGAAATCCAGTTTTTAGAGGGTCTCTCCTGTGGGATGGAATGGGAGGACATTTGAACTCTGCTCCCTTGTTCATATGGAGTTTACTGCCAGCCCTTCTCATGGGGAAGAGAACTCCCATCTGCTTGGCAATGGATTCAGTACCTTTTATTTGTATCTTTGGTGTTGCAGCTCTTCTCAGCAGGGTTGATATGTGTTCTTCAACATTCTCTCTTGGCTCAGCTCCAAACCATCAGCTTACTTGTCAAACTTCTGTCTTTTAACTCTTCCTCTGGATGGCAGTCCGCCATCTTACCTCCGCCCCCCCCAACTCTTTTTTGTAGGAAGTAGAACTTACTTTATAATTAGGAGTCTTCTGCCTATGTAAATTTTGAAAAGCAGAATTGCAGATTAGAATAGTCCAAGTAGATTCTTTTAAAAAATTTGTGAATTAGGCAGTGCCTGTGGCCTTAAGGAGTAGGTCGCCAGCTCCATATGCCAAGGGTGGCAGGTTCAAACCTGGCCCTGGCCAAAAACTGCAAAAAAAAAAAAAAAAAAAATTGTGAATTATACCAAAGAATGCACACCTATGCAGCTACTACCCGTCTTAAGAAAGAGAGCATTACTGGCATTATAGAAGGTCCTTGTCTTTCCTTCATAATCACTTTTCCTTTTCTCTCACCTGGGCTAATCAACATTCTAGGTTTCCTGTTAATCATTTTGTTGCTTTTCTCTATAATTTTACTACATACATATGTATCCATATGCAAATTATTATAATATATGGGTTTTTACTTTAGATAAATGGAATTCCAAAGTATGTATTCTTCTACACACTTCTCAAAATTATGTTTTTGAGATTTAATCATACTGATCTATTTAGCTTTTAATTCATTCATTTTCACTCCTATATGGTCCTCCACTGTAAGGACATACTAAAATAAATTACTCCATTCTAATGTGGATGCACATAAAAGTAATTTTAAGTGTTTTTGCATTACACATGGTATTGTGTATGAACATTTTTTATACATACATTCATGTACCAGAGGGGAATCCCTCTGGAGTAAACATCACTAGAATAGGAATAGCTGGATCGTAGGGCTTATATATATTTAACTTTGCTTTTTCAAAATGGTCTTCACAATTTATACACATGCTCCTATCAGCTTTGGGGTTTTTTTGAGACAGAGTCTTACTATGTTGCCCTTGTTAGAGTGCTGTGGGGTCACAGCTCACAGCAACCTCAAACTCTTGGGCAAAAGCGATCCTCTTGCCTTAGCCTCCTGAGTAGCTGGGACTATAGGTGCCCATCACAGAGCCTGGCTATTTTTAGAGATGAGGACTTGCTGTGGCTCAGACTGGTCTCAAACCTGTGACTGAGCTTAGGCAATCCACCCTCCTTGGCCTCCCAGAGTGCTAGGATTACAGGTGTGAGCCAATGCACCTGGCCCCTAATATACTAATATTAATCGAACTTTACTTTCTGAGCTAAAATCATTTTTGTCATAATACACCTTCATTTTTGTATTCTTTGCATCTATTCTATTTGGGATATATATATATGTTGAGTTTGTACTGTAGTTTTCCTTTATTCTTTTTCTTTGTTTGATTTTGTTATGCTGACTTCATGAAATTAGCTGAGATTATTTTTTCTTTTTATATTCTCTAGAATTTTTGTAATATTAGAATACTGATGACTTGAATGTTTGGTAGAACTTGCCTGTAAAGCTATATAGGACTATTATTTTCTTTGTAGGGACTTTTTAAAACTTCCTTAATGGTTACAGCACTATATAGTTTTTAAATTTCTTCTTAAGGAATTTTATATTTTTCTGGGAATTTTCTATTTCATCTACGTTTTTAAACATTTTGTCATAAATTTGTTCATAACATGCTTTTATTACCCTTTTTCCTCAAGTTTTATTTGTATTTGTGTTTCTCGTTACCATGTTGTTTATTCTGCCTTGTTTTATATTTTTTGACAATTAATATTATTTAACATTTCTTTTATTATTTTAAAGAATCAATATTTGGCTCTATTCTTCTCTATTATATTACTTTCTATTCATATTTATTTTCTTCCTAATATATTTTTTGATCCTGTGAAATCCATTAAGTCTTGATTTATAGCTTAGAATAGGCTCAATTTTTATAAATATTCCATGTATGCTTAAAAAGAATGTTAATTTTCCGATTTTTGGTTTGATTTGTATATGCTTATTAGCTCTAACTTATTAAATTTACTATTTAAGTCAAAATATTTGTAAGCTATAAATAAGAAAGCATTACTATTTATTTTTTACTTTTTATCAAGTGGATCTAATGATTATTGAGGGAAAAATTAGTTTTAAAAATATCCCCCTGTGATGGAGGATTTTTCAATTTGTTGTTCTAATTCTTTTAAAGTTTGCTATCTATGTTTTGAATATATGAGGGCTGTCTGGAAAGTATCTAGCCATGTGTGTCTCTATTTTCCGTAGTACATGGGTGGATACTTTCTGGACAGCCCGTGTATATTGTTAGGCACATCCAATTTTGAAATCAGACGTTTCTGGAAAATTGATCCTCTTACCATGGTATGTTGACCCTCTTCATCTCTAATAATGCTTGCTACCTTAAAGTCTACTTTATCTGAAATGACTAGTTATACAGGTCATCTATTGGTTATACTGTGTGTCACTTGAATTACTTGGGGCTCAAGTTAGAGTTGAATTTGTCCCAAGAGGTTTTGTCTTGGCTTCTGCAGGTTGCCTTGAGGCACTGTTATCCTGGGACCCTTTTAAGTTACATTCGACCCTTGAAGTTTTCAGACTACACAAGTGACACAAAGGCAGGACAAAACATTTGTGGGACTGACTAGTAGTTACTAATTCTGGACACAGATTTTTTTTTTTTCTCCAATGCCAAGGTGAAAACAATGCTGTCCTTGTTCTTATGTTGGTTTACTTCTAGCTGATACTCATGCAGAAGAGGCTTTCGTGTTCTAGGTTGAATGTAGGAATCTTCTCTGAGACAGCCACTGTGGGTAGCTCTTGTGCTCTGTCTCCTGTGTTCTATACAGCCATCACAATCCCTGTAGGTTCCCAGGGTGTGGCAGATGTCCTCAAGGGGAAAACTGGCTTTCTCACCCCCTGACCTCCTAAAGTTTTTAGTTTATATTAGTTTTTGGCCTTTGGAAAATTTCTACTTTTTTGTTAGCTTAGTGATTCATTAAAAAAATATATTTTTATTTTGTCTAGTCTTTTGAGCTATTTTTATTTGGAAAGCCGTTCCAGTGCTCCTATAAAAAATGAACATTTCAATCACTTCTTTCTTGTAAACACACTAAAACCAGATTTTGTTAGTTGTAATGTTTGTCTTGTGTCTTCTGAGGATGTCAAAATTAAGACAAAAGATGATTTCATATAAATATTATTATTTTTTTCTTTTGAGATAGAGTTTCAAGCTGTCACCCTTGGTAGAGTGCTGTGACGTCACAGGTCACAGCACCCTCAAACTCTTGGGCTTAAGCATTTCTCTTGCCTTAACCTCCCAAGTAGCTGGGACTACAGGCATCTGCCATAATACCCAGCTATTTTTTGGTTGTAGTTGTCATTGTCGTTTGGCAGGCCCAGGCTGGATTCGAAGCTGCCAGCTCCGGTGTATGTGGCTGGCGCCCTTAGCCACTAATCCTCAGGTGCCAAGCCTATAAATTTAATTCTTAAATGCTGCTCTTCTTCCAAGTGAAATGACCAATATCTGTGAACCAAAAGCCTGACTTAGAATTCTTTTCACTCTACTCTGAAATTAAGATGATGGGGTGAGGAGCCATTTTTGGTGTTTTTAAAATTATTCTTGAGAAAAATTCAACTCAAGAGAATGAATCTACTTTAAATTGCTTTTTAAATCCTGAATTCACAAAATTAAGAACTCGTTTTATACTTTATAGTTTCAAATCTCTGAGTGTATTTTCATCAATATTTGATTAAGGGACCAATTGTTTCCTTTGCATCATTGGATTAATTATTTAGCTTTTCTTTGCTTTAGTTTCCTCTTAAAAATGGAATATACTAATACTAACCATCTTAGGTTCCTGGTAGGATTAAATATCCAGTGTATGTAAAGAGCTTTGTATGGTGCCTGATATATAATCATGGAGTAACTGGCGGCACCCGGTGCTGCTTAGTCTTCAACTTCAGAATCAAAACAGCTCTTCTTTTTTTTTTTTTTTTTTTTTGAGACAGAGCCTCAAGCTGTCCCCCTGGGTAGAGTCCCGTGGCATTACAGCTCACAGCAACCTCCAACTCCTGGGCTCAAGCGAGTCTCCTGTCTCCGCCTCCCAAGTAGCTGGGACCACAGGCGCCCGCCACAACCCCCGGCTATTTTTTGGTTGCAGCTGTCATTGTTGTTTGGCGGGTCTGGGCTGGATTCGAACCCGCCACCTTAGGTGTACGTGGTTGGCGCCTTAGCCGGTTGAGCTATAGGCGCCGAGCCAACAGCTCTTCTTTTATTCTGTGTTTTCAGGTATGTGCCTGTCAAAGATCTACTGGGAATTTATGAGAAACTTTATGGTCACAAAGCCATCACCAAAGATGTAATTGTTGAGTGCTCTTACCTTCAGTTCTTGGAAATGTAAGTGTAACCTAGTGGAAAGTTTGGCCTGATTTTATTGTGACTTCCTTGGCACACTTTTCATGTTTTAATTTCCTGAGAGTGGATTTGGGTTTTATGAATTTTGCTTATTCAAAGGCAGTGCATGTTAGTGCCTGTGAGTAGATGGAATTTTTTTGTCACTATTTGTTTCATTTCTCTGTTAGAAACTTTGACTTATAGTTAAAATTACTGTTTGTATTACAGGCATGGTGAAATGTTGGCTGTTTCTAAGGTAAAGGCCTCATTCTTCCAAATCTTAGTTTAAAGGATTATAAAAATACCAGGGAAAGCTCCTTATTGATTTATTTTTCTTTCTCTCTGTCAAAGCTTTATCCCACTTACTCTACCAAGTCCCCGTTTTTGGTAGAGCAATTCCAAGAGTATTTCCTTGGAGGACTGGATGATATGGCATTTTGGACCACAAATATTTATCGTCTAACAAGCTTCATGCTAGAGAATGGGACCAGGTAAATTATTGCTCTAGGTATAGCTCCTGCCTCTCCACCTCATTTCCCAACATAATTGTTGGGTTTTTCAACTGATCAAATATAAACAAAACCAAAAAATTTCATGATGTGCTTTCTTAACCTATTTAAGAAGGAAAAGAATGGAAACTCAGTCATCTCAAAAACTTGACTGTCTAGCCTGGGGCAACAGAGTATGAAAGTCTGTCTCAAAAACAGCAGCAGCAGCAACAACAACAACTTGACTAGCCCCATCCGGTTGGCTGGCTTAATGCTTCTGATGTTTTAGCAATAGAGAGATAGATATTGCAGAATTTTTGATCTGTGACAAATGGTGCAGACAGGAAGGACTGAAGTACTTTTGGCAAAACCCATACTGGGGGCTGGAGTACAGCTCTCCGAGGCTTCAGGGTGGCTTTGCCACTGTGTTCTTACTGTAGCAACAGGTTTGTGGTGACTCATCCCTCCACCCCACGTGACCTCTCAGGGTTTGAGGGTTTAAAACAGATGTAAACAGAACCCCATGCACATACCCCTAAACACACACTCCAGAATAGTATCAGAAATAAATGCACTTATAAAGCACAGTTTTCTGTGGAAATTTGACATCTCACCCAGATAGGACAGTTACTCAATCTCATTTCCTTTGCTTCTCTTCTTGACCATGCTCAGGGCAGGTGTGAATCAGAGAGTTAGAGCAACTGTACATCAGGGTAGACTGGATTGTCCCCACTCCCAGCTGTAGCAGATCGTTAGGCTCTCATAGACTCTAGATGTTGGGGTGCTAATGTTCCCCTGAGGACTCATTTGGGTTGGGGTGCAGGCTTGAGTATGAAAACAGTGGGACATTGGCACAGCACCAGAAGCTTAGGCTGTGTCACCAGCAATTAGAAAGAAGCTTCTTTGTGCTTGGGAGGCCACACTAGTGTTTGTTCCCATAAACATTTGCTAGTATTTAAATAATGTTAACCATAATTATATATCCTGATGATTCGAAACCAAATTCCTTTTGATAATAAATTTGACCTCAGCTTTGTATATAGTAAACTTGTTTTTAAGACTCAATGAGTAACAATTTGGCAGGGATAAAACATCTGAGTGCCATTTGTAACAGTGAAATAAACCTCAAGTAAAATCTCCATGCCTTCGTTCTGTGGTTGCGGGTTTTTAGGTGCACGCTAGCATGCTTGTAGAGAGGATGAGCTTTGGAATTTGAGAGTCCTGCCACTCACTACTGAGTTATCTGGAACAAGTTGCTAAACTTCTCTAAGCCTTAGTCTCTTCATTTGTAAGATGAGGACAGTAATACTATTTTTATTAGAGGATTTTTGTGAGGAGTAAATGACATCACTCATGTAAAAAGCTTACCTTGTAGTAAGCACTCAGTAAATGTTGGCTACTATTATTAAAATTATTATTAGAGGGGAGTTAAGTTTATATTGGAAGGATTCATAACACATGGCTTCGCTGGAGAGAATGACCTGCATTTACTTGTTTTATGTAACCCATGTGTGACAATCTTCAAATTGGAAAACCATTTTTAGTGTTTGCTTTTGGTTTGGTTCTCCAATTAGTTCAGGAAAGGTGCATAGCTGGCCCTTACTCTTTAATTAGGGAGAAATAATTGACAAGTAACATATTTCTTGTCTTTGATTCCCTATCTCAGTTTGCCAAGGCATAAAATTCCATGAGTTGACTGCTTGTTTACACACATATACAAAGAAAACTTTGTTAGAACTTACAGGAATTTTTGAGAAGTTTGGAGAAGACTCCAGAGAGAAACCACACAAATTCATGACAAAAAGAAAAATATAAATATTTTCATAATAACAGGTATTTCCAACTTAATAGGAATAGGTTATCTTACGAAGCTCATTTATGTTATGTGGGGCTCAGGGTGTACTTTCCTAAAGAGACAATGAAATAGTGGTAATTACATTCCCAGAACTTTCCTTACCTCAAAATGTATTTGTAAATACACTCATTTACACATTTGCAAAAACACTAATATTGTGAGACTGCCTTCTGCATCCTGGGGGTGGGGGAGAAAAGAGGATTCAAAGAAAGAAGTTCCAAGCTGGCTCCAAAGGAAGATTTTGACAGGAGAAGTTTGCCTCCAGCTTCTTCCCACCTCCTTTCTAAATTCCTTTTCTGCACCTAGTTTTTTTCATCCTTATGGGCTATACTAACTGCCTTTGGACTATCCTGAGCCTCCCTCATGACCTCCATATAAATCTTCTTTTCCTTAAAAATAGTTTTCATTCCAAAATACTCTTCTAGAGTCAATGCCCACTCCCTTGATGCTTCTGTTCAGATTTAGGGGCAAGCCCCTACTCAAAACAGTTCATCCCTTACATTCTTGGAAGCCTTTCCACTTGTAAAAGGGGATACTTCATTGCCTATTTATTTATTGAATTTATAGAATTTTTTTAAGAAATGAAATTGAGAACTTCAGACATATTTGGGCATTAATGGGCATAACTGGGGAGAAGGTGATGTAATTGCAAACCAGTTTCTACCATTGTCTCTAATTCTGAGATATTTCATGTCCCCATGGAGCAGCTCAGCAAAAGGGAGGAGGACTGCTGTGAATCTGGGGGCTGGGTTGCGTGGGGCTGCCCGTATTACCATAATACCACAAGCAGCAGTCTATCCACCCTTGTCTAGGAGGACTTGGCTTTTAATTGGTGCTGCATAGTTAGGTTATGAGCACTTTAAGCCTTTTGGACATGGTTGAAGTATATTACTGACTCTCAGGGAAATTCATGCTTGAAAAAGAAGGTAGAAAAATGCTTAATTCATTTGACTATTTTTCCAGTGGTTGTAATCTACCTGAGAACCCTCTGTTCATTACATGCAGTGGCCAGAAAAACAATACCCAGGGGTAAGTAGATTCTAAACTTTTTCATAAAAAAAGAATATCTTGGGGTGGGGAAAGGGGAGAGCAGACAAAGGGAAGGAGGGAGGGGGTGGGGGAAGAGAAGAGCAGACAAAGGGAAGGAGGG